TTGCAATTTCGTGCTCCTCTTTTTATATTAAATTTGCAATTAAAATTCATTTACCAAAAAAAATAGCTAGATTCTTATTTCTGTTATTCCCTTTTATTCGATCAAATTTTCGGTTTGCCTTATATTTCTTCACATTTCTCCACATTTTTGAAACCAAAAAGAAAAAAATTTAATATTACCCAAACTGGCAGCGACACAAAAACCGATCCTTCTCTCCTAGAATTACACCAAATTTTTCGAAAATATTTGAAAGAATTTGTTATAGATCAAATTGTTAACAAAAACATTTATTTTCTTCATATATTTCTTGATTTATTTACAAATCATCTTGCAGAAGATTGAATGGATTAAAACCAAAAAAGACAAAACAAAAAACTAAATCTAAATTTCGAAATGCAAACAAAAAAAAAAAAATACAATAACAAAATTATACAAAAAATACTACAAAATTGCCCACAGAAAAGAAAAGAAATTGTTAAGCGAACATAAAAAAAGTACTACAAGAAACAAAATTATATACATACTTATAAATATATTACTTGACAACCAAGCAAATTTGAGTTGAACCCCAAAAGTCGCATAATTTACAAAACCGAAGAAAGAAAACCCCAAGAACCGATACTAAAAACTAAAAAAACAAAACCGAAACTAAATTTTGTGTGGTAAGTTAGAAATTGTTGGTTGAATAAAAGCAAAAACAAAAACAAAACAAAAAAAAATAAAAATATATATAAATTGCAACAAACTTTAGTTGTGATATTTTCGTTTCCATGTTGGTTTTTAATTGCATAACATTTCTGTTCAGCAATATTGTATGTAAATATTATCCTACAATCCAAAGTAGTTGCAACTTCAATCATTTCCCTCTACGCTCCTGTGTGTGTCTATCTACTTGTTGTGCATAACGTTCTAGTCTGTGTGTGTTCCTTATATTCTTTAATTTTAGATTGTCAAAAACATTATTATTTAGCAATTAAGTGTAGTTATCGTGAAAGTGCGTGCTGTGGAAGACCTATTGAGGGAAAGAAGAAAGAAACCTTTTGTGGAAATTGGGCGCTTCTTTCCAAAATTAATTGCTTTTTTATCCTGCACCTATAATGATCAATTTGAAGGATTTTTTAATGAAAATAATTCACCTTCTGAACCAATCAGATACTCAATTTTTAGACCAACTCACCACACAAAATCGATTTTGAAATAGAAAGAGTTCCATCGTAAAAATGAAAACCTGAAGAAGCCTCAGACCGACGTGAAACTCAGTTTCTTTCCCCTGATTCTCTCTATCTCTACATGGCATTTTAAGTTATTTGATATTATACTGTATTGTTTGCCGGCTTTTATAAATAATTAATCTAATGGCAAGCTTCGTATTATATTATGTGTGTAAATAAATAATATATTGTTCAGTTTGCTTGCTTTTTATGCGTAAATGCTGTAAATACACATGAATATTAATTTCGTTACGACCATTTTTTTTATTAATTGATGGAGTGTGAAACGCAAATAAATAAAAAAAAAAAACACAAATTGGTGTTTCGGGGCTACAAGCAAGTCATGGCCTGGTACTGGTACTGGGACTGGGACCCACCTATGTACACAGAGGACCTCTGGGTGCACGCTATCCGTTAATTAGTGCTAGAACGAATACTAAACAGATCTGATTTGATATGATTGACAAAGTGAAAAAATAAACAAATTCTTAACTACTTGTAGACGGCTATTATTCAGTTACGGTGCGAATACCCAAGCGTATTACTGTCTGTGAAAATCTATGTCTTAGCTATAGCCCCAGGGACTAGCCGTTGAAGGTAACGATGATCTGAGAACAACCATGTACTTGCTTGGGATGGTCACCTAACCACACATCAAATGCTTGCCTAGACACCTTTGATACTAAACCTATGATATATCCATATCAATATATTATATACTATATGTAAACCGTGTATGCTAACCTATTATATCCTTATATAAGCAGATATTTGTTAACAAACTTCTAAGCCACACAAATTCTAATTAAAATTCTCAATGTGCTCCGTCTTTTGCCAGAGGAACAATGGGAAAAGGATCTGGAAGCCGAGCTCAAGGACTACGAGGTTGTTGATGACGGTGGCACCAGTGGCGGCGGCGGCGGGGGAAGCAGAAAAGGCAGAAGGACGAAGAACGAGGTGGAAGTGGACGAGGAGGAGGACGAACCGACAATATCAAACTTGCGCACACGCTCGACTAACAACGACTGGGAGGAGTACGCCGATTTAATTGAGGATACCGATGATTTAAAGTAATTAAGAGCTTATATCGTAGTTTCTTCTAAGTTGGCTCTAAGTTTATAACTATCTTTACTTTATCTTTCTTTTCATTCCTTTCTAACCTTGTTTCCTACTTGATTGATTGATTAAATACCCCACAATATTGTTAAACAAACAAAAAAATAAAACCAAAACAATTGAAATTTTGAAATATTCAACCACAGAACTTTGAAGTGCCTAAAGCGCACCATGTTGGGCTATCCATGAGACGAGGCAGCGCTCCCAGCGCTCTTCTAGTGCCGGTGATCCACAGCCCCACTCCTATCCCGGGGGGCCTGCCTTGTGGTGGCCTATTGGAAAAGTTGGTTGAGATACCCAATGTTACCCCCCCACAACCCCACACTAACTCAATTATTGGCCAAGAGCAATGCGTTCTATTCAGTTACCTTTAGACATGATATAAGACACTAAACCAAAAGATATCGATTTTATTCAACCTTAAAGTTTTAATCAAAAAAAGAAAGAAAAAAAAGAAAATGAAATCCCAGCCCAAGCCAATCTGGTATTCTATGTATCTACTATATTCTCTTATATTTGGTTCAAAACACCGAGTGGCAGCGGTATATAGAGGGTCGTCGGTATTACTTGCCAATTGTTCAGCACACGAAATCCGATATCCGATATCAGAAATCCGAAATCGGGCAGTCAGAAGCCTATCAATAAGTACTTATATAGAATTACACACCTATACACACCTACGAATGCAGGCTAAAGGACAAACCGGCTATAATGCTATAGATGCAGATCATATTTGAATATAGTGACTAACAATTGAGTAAAACCAAACAACAGAGAAAGTCAACAAATAAGCTTCAAAGGGAAAATTTTGTTATTTATATTTATAAATAAATTATATATACACATATATATATACAGATAAATTAATGCATTTGAATTTAATGTGTAAAAATAATTATAATAAAGATATAGATATAATATATGTAAAGATACGTGACACCCAAAATAAAAGTTGAAAATTTCAGTTAAGCCATGTATGCTTGATAAAGCTATTTTCTTTAAAAATTTGCAGTTGATATACATAGAAGCGGAGTAAAAAAAAAAGCTAGCAAATCATTTATTTGAGAGCAACAAAATAAATTGAAGAGTATTATTTCTCCCTCAAATAGTTTATAGTTAAACGAAGATATTAAACATTGAATTATCATTGATTGATGCTTAAGCCACATGTTAAAGAATAAAATAAATAAAAAAGTAAATAAAATAAAAGTATCTATTGTTTAGCTCAATTAAATGGCTCGCCAACAAGTCTTGTTTTTCAGAAGAGTTTAAGTTTGAGACTCCATCTTCTTAGGACCTTTTTTAGGCGAAACTATCACCTTGCTGTTCCACTATCGAACTAACTTCCTTGAACGAAACTAAAAACAAAATGCCAAAACAATAATATCTGAATATATGAATTGGACTTGATAGACGAAGAAACTAAAAACGCAATTAACAAATTACAAGTAACAAATGAAAAGTAAACGCAATTATAAACAATAAGCAGTTCAAAACCTTTGAAACAAATATATACACATATATATTTATATACTTCACTAGACAAATTTTTATGCATAAACTAAAAACAAAACAAATTCTATATTATCAATGTTTTTGCTCTAAATGTCTAACTAATTGTTAATAAAACGAAAAATCAAATTATTTTCTGCAGATGAAACGTTAAATAAAAATGCTATGAATGTGTAATTATTTGTTAGCAGTGACTACCAAAAAAAGGCAAAGATATATGAAAGCGAAGAATAAAATAAAAAAAATTAAAAGTTATGACATTTAACTGTATATTGTAAATTTAATTTTAAAGAAATGAAATGTATTTACACGAAACGGCATCAAATATGATATGAACTTAACAAATTTTAAAATTTATATTTACTTTGTGCGTTTTTAAACATGTTGGCGACACAATGACAAGCAAACTAGTACATAAACCAAACTAATAATAACAATTAATGATAAATAATGTAATAATGTTGACAACATACCTATGTATTTTACAAGGCAGAACAACAACCCAGCCCCCTCCAATCCAATAACCCGATCCACACCGATCCCGAAAGATATATCAAGCCCTGCATTGGCACCTCTTCACACATACTTTATTGTCTGCAAAGAGTTTATTATTGAAAGGCGAAACAATTAAATTAACGTTTATGAGCAAGTTTGTTGAGCAGCATTCCATTACTATAACATTGCAAATGAAATAAAATATATGTATATGTACTAATTAAATTATATCACCCCCAAAAAGAAGAAACTGAAAACAAAAAGTATATATTAGTTGTTTAACGATTGATAAAGTTTAGACAGAGGAGAATGCCATGGTGCTGCCTCCGAATGCAAAATTAGCCAACAGAAGGCAGAGAAACACTCCTTGAATTGCCATAGAACATTCTTTCCACTCAATTTTAAAAGAAATCGCGCCGCAGATCGAGGGGTTCCTTCACCGGGAACACCCTGAAAACTAAGCACAGCAAATCGGGAAATAGAAATTTTGTGTAAAGTTCGATGACAGGACCGAAGACACCAGCATGAACACATACGAGTATATATACATAATAATTATATATATATGAGAACAATTTAACGAGATTAAAATCAACTAAAGTAATAAAGGGAAAGTGTATAACTATTAAAACTAACGAAATCCAAACTCTTTTATTATCGGTTTTAGGTTTTCTGTTCGCATAGTGCAATAATTTTATTCACAAAAATTTTCGATATATAAATTACAAGACCTTAACACTAAATGGGTTAAAATAAAAACAAGTTTTTTGAACAATGCACAATGAATTAACAGTGGGAGTTAATAAGCATGCGATTGTGTGCCCAAACGGCAGTCCAATCAAATAATTTACTATATATTGCATTTGGCTAAAATTGAAAAATCTCAAAGGTGCCCATATTTGCGATACAAATATGCGGTATTTGGGGATCGGATCTGATCTACAGGCTTACGGCTAATAACACAATTTGAATGATTCTACTTTGCCCTTCCACCCTGGACTAATTTTCTTCATAAATCATCTAGCTGTAAGATTGTTGGGTCACCATCGGGGGCTCCGGCGATACGGTTCTGATCGCTCGTAGGTAATACTCTTGAAACGAGAGCTCGGCTCTAATTGCGGCTGCTTGGAGACCGGCTGACCACGGTTGACTACATCCTTCCAAATCATGGTTAGCAGTATGAAGATGGCTCCCACGATTTTGTTCAGGAAATCGAGCAGTTTAAACACAATTGGAGTGGCAGTATGGGTGAAGCGGCTCAGCTCGAACAGAAAGCGAACGGCAAAGACTCCAAGAAAGCGCAGCGCTACCGCGGCTCCACCCACGGCCGAGAAGATGAGTAGTCCAAGGAACCGTAATACGCCGACGATATTCCTTTTGTTAACATCGTTGGCCATAAAATCGTAAACAGTCTGCTTTATTCCGTCGCCCCATTGATGCAGTACTGCCAGAAAGTCTTCCATGCCCAGTTGAATTTGCTCCGCAGACTCTGGGATTGTTTCGGGTTCTCCTCCAGTTGTGATAGCTTTACTGGGGGAGCTCCTACTTAGGGAAATGGATCTCCTAGGAGTAGCCAGCGGCTCTTCTTCCACGGCACGCACCATCTTAATTTTAAGTTGCACCTCCTGATCCCGAAAACGAAGTGTCTTAATACTGAACCAGTATTCCCCAAAAGCCAAGTCGCTCAGCTCCGTCCAAATGCATGTCTCCAACTGGCCCGCATTTGGGGTGTGAGTGAAGCTCCCATAACTGCCGCTGGTTATTCCCACCCACATGTTGGGAACAAGCCTTCGGTAGAACATCTGCAGCTGTGCGGCACTGCCCTGAAGCATCTTTTCTAGGTCTCGCTCACTGCGCTGAAGCACCACTACGTCTCGGTAGCCACCCACCGCCTCCACAAAGCAGCGTTCCACATAGTGGCCTCGGAAGAGGCGCGACTTGTACAACTGCTTTGTAAGGGATTGCAGAGCTAATTCCTCTGGAGGCATCGGCCGCACCGACGCCGTTCCCACAATGCTACTGGCGTCCATCGAAATCTGTTGGGAAAAAACTGCATTACTAGCCAGTCATTAAACCCTAGTGACCTTACCAAGTGATAATAATTGGACTTTGTTGCAATCACTTTCCCCTCTTAGTCACCAATTGGTAAATATGGTTGGTTAAGTAATTGCACTAACAGAAAATCGTTGTAGAATTATTTTACGTCTGCTTTTTTATATTTTTTATTTTTATTTCTAACTGTGCATTACACAGCGTTTAATACATAAATAAGACTGAATAGTAACTTTTAAACAAAACCAGGTGTAGAGATAAATATTGGCAAGCAGCTGTTATTAGGTTTATGCGGTGAAGTTCGTGATCATGAAAATCATGGATATAAGTTCGGGGTACTTATGATTCATGATCATTTGTTTCTTCATTTTAAAATAATTCAAAACATGCTCCAAATATGAATTTTAAATTGTTTTAATAATTTAAGAAAAACACGACAATGGCCTCTATAAACTTAAGCGGAGACCTATTTCCGATAGTCGATAACGATGATGCTTTTATCAGAATAATAAATATCGAAAAAAAAAATAAAAAAAACATTTTTGATACTCAATTTTCCTGGATTTTCCACCTAGACTCGTAGGTTCCCACCCCAGACCATCAAGATTGTCTCCCGACGCCGTCTGAAAGATTTTCTCAGGATGACCTTAGTGGGACTAGCAGCCCGCAAGCTGGCGGAGAAACAAAGGTGAGAATCCCCACTATTGCCGGCCTTTCCACCAAGCCACGGTAGAATATAAAAATCCATTTTCTTTGCTTTAGAACCGATAAAATCAATGCCGCCTTTCCCAATGGCATTCGATGCCAAAAGTGCCTGCAAATGGGCCACTGGAGCTATGAGTGCAAAGAAAAGCGCAAGTATGTCCATCGCAGCTCACGCACCAAGAAGTTGAACCAACACATTGCCCAGAAGGAAGCTGAGACGCCTAAACCAACGGAGGTAGTACACGAAACCAGCTCCACCACTAGCAAGAAGACTAAGAGAAAACGCAAGGCTAGCAGAAGCTCCTCCTCCTCCTCCAGCTCGTCAGACGGTTCGGATAGTAGCTCCGGTTCAGGGTCGTCCTCTGACTCTGACTCCAGCGATTCCAGTTCCTCATCAGATGATGATGACGACCAAGGCAGCTCATCGGGATCGAGTAGCAGTAACTCCAGCTCGGATAGTGACAGCAGTGAGGAGCAGGAGGTGCCCCAGAAGAAGAAAAAACGTGCCGAGAGTTCGGCTGAGTCCTCGGATCAAGAATAATAAATAGTTTCATTTGGTCCAGTAGCACATACTAGCTTTAGTAGTTTAGATATTTTTTCTTCATCCGAATATATTTTACTAATTCTTTTAATTATATTTTGTAATTATACATAATTGTGTGGAATAAAGTTATAATCAGTCCGAGTCTACCTCCTCGTCGAATGTTTTAAGGCTGCTTCCAAGCACACCCAGATTGATTGCCTGACTATTAACAAATGTGGCTTCCGAGGCGGATGGCTCTGGCCTTTCGGTGATATCTAAAAAAAGAGGATCCTTGCTGTGGGTTCCTTGTCCTTCGGTAGTATTATGAATGCCCATTGACTTAAGATGCAGTTCCTCCACCTGCGAAAAGAATTTTGTAAAAGAAGTTGGTTTGACAAAGAACTGCCATCACCTTGAGTGAATTTAAGGCCTCCTGGACTACGGGCAGGACTTTCTCCAGCTTCTTTTGAATGGCAAAGAGTTGAGCTTGTTCTTTTTGAAGGACGCGATTTGTTTGGAACATTTTAAAACCCAACAGCAACAATATTAACCCACTTATGCCCATAAGGTTTCAAATAGGTTTCTAAAAATAATAACCAGTTCAAGATTAAAAATTTTTTAAAAATAATAAATTATTTCGAAAATATCTAGTTTGAATGAAATTTCTTTAGGCATAATAAAAAGTCAATTACAATTATTATTGTCGGCATTTTAGGATTAATATTTGTTAGCGATAACAACATTTAAAGACAACCGTAATACCAGGGATGATACCAAACCGATAACAAAGCCGGTTATCGAAGTCGTTCGCGCCTTTGGAAAATTTGCATTGTACAGTCAAAACAACGTTTAAAACCAAAACACTGTGGAATTCCACGTAACTCTGAGAAAATAATAAATAAAGGCAAACAATATAGCTTCAATGAACATCTGCGAGGTGGATGCTCTACCAGATACGCTGCTCCAGCGCTTCTACGCGAGCTGCGAGCAGCTGGAACTGGACCCAAAAATTCAGAATAGCGCCATGGCCACATACAGGCGGTTCGAAGCAGACGGCAATCTCGCCCAAAGTGGAGGCGATGATATGGCTCACGAGTGGCTATGCTGTGCTGTCTACAGCGAGCTGCAGCGCGTGAAGATCCGGGAGATGCGGGAGGAGTCGAAGCGGGGAGCACCAAGTGATCCCCCGGATCAGATCAAAAATAGTTGTTGGAACCTGTCACTGACCCGTCTCCTTCGAAGCTTCAAGGTGAACGTGTCGCAGTTTCTTCGCCGGATGGAACACTGGAACTGGCTGGCCCAGAACGAGGGAACCTTCCAGCTGGAGGTGGAGGAGCTCCAGCGACGACTGGGAATCACTTTGACCCTGAGGAAGCACTACAAACACATCTTCGAGAAGCTATTTGTCCAACCGGCCGAAGATGCGGATTCCGAGGCAGTGACACTTTACACGTCCCTGTACGAATTTGGATGGCTACTCTTCCTGGTGATCCGCAACGAGTTACCCGGTTTTGCCACTTCGAGTCTGGTGAGCGGGTGCCAGGTACTGGTATGCAGCATGGACCTTCTATATGTTAATGTTCTGGAGGTGTCCAGATCCGTAGTCATTCGTCGTGACTTTGCCGGAGTTCCTCCCAACTGGGATTCGGAGGAGTTCGACAGTAGTTTCCTGAGCAAATACAGCGCCTTGGAGCATATTGTTGCTCTCATCCCGCAGCTGCCGGCAAAAGGAGTAGCCCAGATGAAGAAAGCCTTTTTCCATAAGGCTCTTATGGTGCTATTTATGGACCACATCCTTCTGGGAAACAACATTCACATGCGGGAGATCGTCAAGGAGGGTATGTTGGACGTGAACTTGGGTACTTTGAACAGAAAGTACGACACTCACGTGGCCGACATCAGTGAGATGGATGAACGGGTCCTGCTGTGCTTCCAAGAGATGAAAGAGAAGCCAAAGGACCCCAATGCCAGCCCATTGTCCATCTCCACAACCTCTACCCCCTCCTCCACGTCGAAACACAAGAGACTTCTCTCCCAAAGCCTGCCACTGAAGCTGGCCCCTAGGATTGTGGAGTGCCTGAAGGATGAAGGGAAAGGTGTAATAAAATATCTGGAGCAGTCTCTGAAATCCATGGGCCAGAAGTTCAATGCAGCCGCCAAGGATTACATAACGGCCCAGATGGCGGACGAGTGTTTCCGCCTAGCCAGCGGGTTGTACTACAAATTTATAGAAAAAATTGTGACCTCGGAGATGACCCTAAAGCCCTGGCTGAAGATTAGCAAATTAATTAAGCAGCCCACCCTGACCGAAACTCTACTGGCCTGCTGCCTAGAAGTGGCACTGCATGTCCATCACGAGGACGTGGAAGAACTGCAATTCCCATTTATCCTGGACTGTTACTCGCTGGACGCCTTCGACTTCCAGAAGATTCTGGAGGTGGTCGTGCGCCACGATCAGGGGTTACTCGGGCGGGAAATGGTAAAGCACCTGCACGCCTTGGAGGACGAATGCCTCGGGTCACTGATCTTTCGCCGAGGCTCTCAGCTTTGGCGGAGTTTGGGTAAGTCGTCCCACTTACCGGGCTACCAGGATGTCCAAGCGGAGGGCAAGGAAAACGCCTCGACGGGTGCTGAGATATGTCTGCGAAAATTCTACGGGTTGGCCAAGAGGCGCCTCACTGTGCTCTGCCAGAGTATTGGCGTAGTAGAGAGCTTCGCGCGAATCTGGCACCTGGTCGAGCACTCGTTTACCACCAAAGGTGGCCAATTGCTGCGACAGCGCAGTGTGGATCAACTGCTTCTCTGCGCCATCCATCTTAATGCTCGCTTGCAGGACCTGCGTCTCTCCTTCAGTGTGATCATCCAGCACTATAGACGCCAACCGCATGCCCGCAGCAGCGTCTATCGCGAGGTGGCCATGGACGATGGTCACACGGCAGACATAATCCGCTTCTACAACCGGATCTACCTTCGGAGCATGAGCACCTATGGACGACTGCTCCATTGCCAGGAGCCTCTGGGCAATAAAACTAAGAAGGATACCAATGTTTTGCTAGAGGCATCACCCCTGGAGGCCCGGCTCGCTAGGAATATCTGTGTCACTTCGCCCTCGCCGAGCATCTGCTTGAGGGAATCCTGCTCAGCCCTCGCACTACAAACAGAGCGCGAATCCTCGCCGGTTTCCGACGCAGCACCCAACTTGAAGCGCACTCTCTCCAACAAGGAGCTGGGTATCACCAAGCGGCCGAACATCCTGCGAAGACGCACCTGCTTTCATTGATCCACCTGGCTAATGTATATCTTGGGGCTTTAGGATAGATTGTAAAAAATTAAGTCCTTACAGACGTATCCTGATCTTTCAGGACTCTTAAGGAAATCTCCTTACTGTAACACAACTGAGAACTGAATAGAGAACTCCAGCTCCTGGAGCTGGAACATCTGAATCTTATAGAAGTTTTTCATGAAAATGTTATTAAAATATGCAGTTAATATGCATTTTTAATATTTTTTTAACAATTTTAAATAATTTTAAGAGTAAGAGTCAAGTTCTGGAATCTTTTTCAACAAATATTAAAGTCAAAGTTTTAGTATGGATCTCCTCCAGATCATTCCTATGGAAGCGATATGGATCTCCAGATCATTCCTATGGAAGCGATATGGATCTCCAGATCATTCCTATGGAAGCGATATGGATCTCCAGATCATTCCTATGGAAGCAATAAGTTTTGTCAGCTGTGGCAGCTACTTCTCCACAAATCCACACAAATATTTTAATTTTTAAAAACAAGTTAATAATATTTTTAATAAAACACAGTAAAAACAATCATGCTGATAAGTTTAATTAAATTTTTATTGAATGCCATCGTTTTCGGAGTTGAAACTTTGTTCACATAATTGTGCATAATGGTTGCCTGATGGATGGACACAAAACTAAATACACATGGAACTCGTGGGATGTAATCGGGTTGGGGGGGACATGTCAAAATGGGGGTGGGGACAATCCACAGATTACACAAGAGGTTGGGCTTAGAGTGGAGAGTATACATAATACATACTGAGAGCATACGACTTAGAGCTAGTTACTTTAACGTTTGCTGGCTTACGCATAGGATTTAAAATTAGGAAGGTGGAGGGCCTCCGGGGGCAGCGGCGGAGGGAGCGCTCGCGGGGGGAATGCTACCGGCCGGGGGTAGCGCCGATCCTGGTGGGGCGCCACTGGTCTCTGCCGCAGGAGAACTACTCGGCGGGGTAGTATCTGTTGAAGAAAAGACCGTTAAGTGTTTGGAATCTTTGTCGGATGCGGATGCCACTTACCCATAGGAGTTGGTGCCTGAGATTGAGGGGCCGGAGCGGCGGCAACTGCTCCAGACGGATCGCTGGTCGGGAGCGGGGCGCCAGCTGCGCTTGGAGGAACTCCGGCGGGCACAATGGGGGGCGCTGCGAACGGAGCTCCGTTGGGAGGCGGCGCCACGGATCCGGCTATGTGGGGCGGCAACGGCTGGTGCTGAACTGGTCCTACCAAGGGTTGCGACTGAGGTGGAACTGGGGCCTGGTGCGGATGCGGATGTGGTGGCACCTGGTGCGGGTGTGGATGCGGCGGCAGGGCCTGCTGTTGAGGTGGCAGTTGCTGTTGCGCCTGCGGCAACTGCTGCTGCTGTTGTTGTTGCTGCTGCAAGATCATGCCGCCGGCGGCAGCGGCCTGGCCTTGGAGCTCCTGCTGGAGGCGATGGTGAGCCTGCTGGCGCGCCCGGAACTCGGCAGCTTTGAGCTGCTCCAAGTGAAACTGCTGACGCTCGGTGATCAGTTGCTGTCGCTGGTACTCCAGACCTTCTCGCTCCCGCTCCATGGTGGCCTCCAGCTCCTCGAAGTGCCGCAACTTGATCTCCAGCTTCTTCATCTGCGTCTCGACCAGGAGAGCCACCAGAGACTTAATCTTGCGCTCCTCCAAAGCTGCCAAATGCTTGGCCTTCACAGCTGCCGATGCCAGAGCAGCTGCCGCCGCCGACTGCATGTTGTTCTCGCTGAAGGCTCCCTCCTTTGCCGGTGCCCCAGATCCAGCCCCGGATCCAGTTCCCGACACTGGTCCCTCCTTGACATCGGCACCGTCCTTGTTCTCGCCATCGCCGCTGCTATCTTCCGTCTTGATGTCCGCCGCGTCACCGCCGCCGCCGGTTGCTGGGTCTGTGGGGGAGGATTTGTTTGACTTGTCAGTGGTGGCTGGCTTGGTGGCTGACTTTTCGGACGACTCTTTCTTTTTGTTGTCCTTGTCCGTGTTGTTGGTGGTGGTGGTGGTGGTGGTGTTGTTGCCTGTCGCTGATGATGATGTGGAGCTCGAGTTAGAGTCTGTGTTCGTGTTGGTCTTATCCGATTTCGTCTTGTCTTTGGACTTGGCATCGTCTATATCGTTAAGGTATCAGTGGTTGTTGTTGGTTGGTTGGTATTGTTGTTGTTGTTGATGTGAGTGGTGGTGGTGGTGGTTTGGTTGTAACACAAAAACGAAACAAAATACAAAATACAGTGCCAAATATGGAAAACATTACAAATTTTGTACAAAAACATGAAACAGAAACTAAATGGAGAAACAAACATAAGATATCCTAATCCTAATCCTTCCTGATCTCTGCATCCCCCACCAACCCGACTTACCGTCTTTCTTGCTTAAATCTTTCATTTCCTCGTCTGTGCCTGCAGGTGCCGTGGAGGCGGCGCCTCCTTCCTTGCCCTCCTCCTCTTCTTTGTCGTTTCCAGTGCCAGCGATACCGCTGTTGGCCAAACCAAAGTTTGGATTAAACTTCCCTCCGGCCGATGCCTTCTCAACGTTCTTCATGTGGTTGTCCATTATAGTGGCAGGCACTTCATCCTGCAAGAGGTTAGAACATGGACATAGAATCAAAAACATAGATGGGTCTAACCAGGAGTACCTTAATGGCAGCAAACTCCTCCATGGCAGCTTTAGCGGCCGCAGCTGCTACTCTGGGATCCACAACCGAGGCCAGGAAGGCTACTGTGGACATAATGGGATTGCCGCTCTTGCTGAACGGAATGGGCTGACATCCCAGTGGTCCGAGGAAACCACCATCGTCCTCCAGATACGGATCCTCAATGGGCAGCCGGAGGAAGTGCAGAATGCACTCGTCCTGAGTTCGAGAGCCCACATGCTCGCAGACCTTGTTCCAGTCATCCTTGTGCATCTCGAGGCCCTCGAGGAGCAACAGCGTCTCCTGGTCTGTCCATTCACGGGCCATGCTGGCCGCCGTGCGATTTCGCATAGCCGCCGGCTTCTTAGCATACTGGTCCAGCTTCAGACCAAACTGGCTCACCCCAGAGCTCAGTCCTCCGGCAGCCCCGTTCTCAAGCGCCTCGGTTTTGATCTTGTCCACCAGCTCAGAGTCCTTGCCAAGCGGTTTCTTGTCCAGATCCAACAAAGTCTTGGCCGCCGACGGCTGTTGGGTCTTCTGGGGATTAATGGCCTGCAGCCCAGATGGAGTATCGGAGAGTATATGAAAGTGTGAGGTCGGTGGCGGTCCCATTGGCGTGGGACGCAGATCGGCGTCGATCTGGTAGTTGATGAGGCCCCACTGCTCGAGGAAGGCGTGAACCCTCATGATGGCGCACACGTCACCAGCCAGGTTTCTTCTGCAGGCAGTGCTGGTCAAGTACTCGGTTGGATTCAACCTGGAAGCACAATCCAAAGTCAGTAGAAGTTTGGGAACTACTTGGAGACTCACCTGTAGGTATCTATCATAAAGTTCCTGTATGCCATGTAGATTTCCGGTGTCTTGGACTTGTTCTTGCTGTTGAAGAACTCTGGCATGGCTCGCTTCTCAATAACATGGATCGAGTTGTAGTCGAACCAGGCCGAGTACGAGGGCACTATGATGTGGTGCGTCTGCTCGGTCACATTGTCCTCCATGTCTTCCTTAGCTGAGGATGAGAACTCCTGCGTGTTGCTGTTGTCGCTTGTTTTTCCAGTTTGGGAATTGTCGCCATCGCCCGTGGACATGGCCTGGGCGGCACTTCCGCCTGTCATTTCATCATCCAAGTCGGTCATGGTGCCACCTATTTAAAGAGAGTAGGACTGTTAGTTATAACCACCTTCATCTGTAGAGACAGACTTACCCTTTATGGGCATCATATCGTTATCTCCTCGGGATTTTCCGCCAGGAGCCGGACTAGCTGTTGACTGTAGCGCTGTATTTGCCTTGTGCACTTCCTGAACATTTGGCTCGGCCGGTGGGTCATCCAGATCCCGTGTCAGATCCTCGTCTTCGTCGTCGTTCCGCGACTTCTTATGAACCACGGCTGGGGACCGCTTGCGTTTGCCTGGCTTTGAGGTGGAAGCCGAGGCGGACGGCGATGGAGAACGCCTTCGCTTCTGCTTGCCTCCGGAGCTGGCAGCCGGTTTCTTCTTCTCGTCCCCGAAGGACATGATGTCGTCAATGGACATGCGCTGCTTGTGCGTCTTCTTCTTGCCCTGTTCGTCCACCTCGTAGTCCTCCTCGGCCATCCATTCGTTGTACTGCTCTAGATCCAAAATCCAGGAGGCAGATACGCGCCAACGCTCTGCCGGCGACTCGGGATTCTCCGGAATATTTTCCGGCAGATCGAAGTTGTTAACAGCCCAGGAGTCGTACGATTCCGGGAAGTAGTACCAATGCAGCATGACATGACCGCCTCGCTTGAAGATGGGTCGGGCATACTCATCCGGATGTGGGTCCACAATGGGGTAGACAATGTGGGTGGCGTCCTCCTCGTCGGTTACGATCTCGACGCGACGGTTGTCCAGGATTTCACGCAGCCTACTCTCGAAGACCTTCTCGATCTCCGGGCGAATGTAGATGTAGGGAATGCGATACAGATCCGCCTCGACCAGGGCCTGCTCGATCTCGATCAGCAGCTGAATGTTTGGATCCTTCCGTGATGGGTTCTTGCCAATGGAGAAGTCGAACTTCTTGCCGCGCTGCTCGGCCCGAAACCGGAACATGGTCGAGAAGATTATACAGAGTCCGCCACCGCTCTTGAAGTCCAGGAAGCAACGCATCTATGGGAAGAAGGGGTATTAGTAATAGCACTTAATCATTATTCTTTCAAAAAATTATATTTCCATCCCGCTGAGCCAGTAGAGGGTTAATATTTACGTGTACATACGACACATGGGGCACCCTGTACACATCAGACACACACACACACTAACACTAACCGGAATTCTTGTCGCCGGCGGCTCCGCCGAATTCTTGCCGAGCTTAGCCTCCACATACTGCAGGAATTGTATGAGCAACTGGGCCAGAGACTCCTTAGTAATGGGCTCCGAACTGTGGGCCAGATACTGCAAGAGGAAACCAATATATTAATCTTTGTTTTTTCACTACCAGGCGAGCGCCATTTTTGTTGCGACGGCGTTGTTGTTGTACCTTTTTGCAGTTCTTCTGCAGCCAATGTCGGATGGATTCGAAGCCCTGTAGCGTCTCCGGAGACTGAAAAAAGTCAATATTCGGACTTCCGTCCTTTTTAGGACCAAGTGTGTTCATTGTTTTGCACTTTTTAAACTCTTTTTCCACTTATTTTAGCAGTTTTCCACGCCGAAAATCCTATATTGAAAACTCTGGTAAACGACGCACAGTGATGGGATGTATTCGATAGGTTGTTTTTCAGCCCATGCATTTCCAGCTATCGATAACAAGGGAAAATACTAAATATTATTTTAACAAGGATTATAAAAGTTACATTATAAGGAGATCCTATTATTATAAAAATATAACCTTTATTAGCTCGAAGATCTATATTATCTATAACATTGATAAAACCCACTTGATTACTTTGAGAAAATTATCGGATCAGTGAAAATCTAACCTGTTTTTGAAAAATTTCAAAGTTACATCTCGATTTTTGTAAAAAATTTAAAAACATAATCAGGAGATTTAAGCCCTGATTCATAAATGCCGTGTCTTTTTGAAATCGAATGCAATGAACCTGAGGTATTGATAAAAAGTAAAAGTAAGCAATTTGGTCAAAAAGTATCAATAATAATATCAACATTTTTAACGGTCGATTTATTTCGGTCGTATAAAATTATCCTTATCATTGCTAATACTTGCCAGATCAATGAATATAATAATCTACCATTATCTGATCATCAAAAAACTGACCTCATTTAAAGAAATTTAATCCTTTGGTATCTGATCACATCGATCGATAACATCACAACTATTTATAAATAGTGCGCGCCATATTGAATGTATCTCACAGATACCAGATACTTCCGCTGGATATGGATACCAAAAAGTAGCTGTAAACAAGCTAAGCCGCCAACCGCGAATGTCCGGGTTTTTGGTAATATGGCGGTTGCGTTTCTCGGCTACACTGATCCGGGGCTAAAAACTCGATGCTCCGATTTGACGCGGCACACTATAAATGCGACTAGCGACGGGCTAACATGGCTCCTGGTATTGAAAAAAGTGTAAAATTTAATCAAATAGTGCGGTCGGAGTGCGTTTTCGTCGCGAAACCCAATGTTAAGTTAAAACATTGAGAAACAACGCCCCCCTAACGAACGCCTCTTCACGTTCTAATAGTATTCGCCACGCCGGAGACTGTTCGCCTCCCCCACCCAGGTGAGGAGGAGGAGGAGTGTGGGTGTTTTTTTGTGATAGTGTTTGCGTGGAAAATCAATGTGTGCGTGCTGCATCTGTGACGCTGCTGCGAAAAAAACAGACCACCCCCTGCGCCCGCCACGCCCAGCCGCATCGATTGTACAGTTTCAGAGAGCAAACAAATCAATTAGAAAATGCAGAACGCCTGAGCTCAGCAGGGAAAGGAGGCGAGCGCAACCATTGCCAAAGGTGAGTGATATAATAATACATGTAGCTTTTGCATGGCTAATGGCCCCGATGGCCCGATCCTCGCCAGCCAGTTTCAATAGTATGTGTTTTCCCCATGTCGTATACTTAATGTGTGTGTATGTGTGTGTGAGGGGGGCGTTATCGCTGACTGCGCTGCCAGCGTGCTTCCGTTGCCCCGCAGTCGCTGCTTTGGTGGGCAGCGCTGTCGCTGTCGGGCCAAGGGGGCACGCTAAGTGTGATAAGAGAGCGAAGAGAGCAGCCCATTAGGCGGCGAGAGAGCGCCAACGCAGCAAAACTAGAACAAGTCCTTAAAGATTTTTAATAAAGATAGAAATATATATGAAAGATACAGATACTTATAAAGAAAGATAGTTTTTTTAAAAGAAAGATAAAGATAGATGTGTAGTTTTATTTAAAGGCAGTTAATAATAATAGTTTTTAATATTAGTTTCCTATTAAATGGAAGTAAATATGAAGTCAACTTACTAGCAAGATTTTTCTTCCACTTGATGGCTAGCTAGCTTCTTGGCTGTTGGCGTTGTAGATATTTTTAGTCGGCAGCACATTGCTCAATTTGTTTTTAGCCATCATAGTATAGTCGCCTTTGGCTATTTGTGTCACTGCTTCATTCATGGCATCTTTGACTTTTCCAATTTTCCGATTTCCCATTTCCGTGGGTGAAATAATCCAAAACCAAATCCAATACCAAATCCAAAGCATTGTCCACGTTGCTTCAATACCCAAAAGTATTCCGATCATATACGTACAGCGTGTATGTACATTGGCAGGCGGTACAAGGCACCTGTATTTATTTATGGTCTGCTGCCGTAATCGGCTGCGGCTGCGACTGCACACTCCGCCGACTCCCTCTCTCTTTCGGTGGCCGACTTGGTGGGGTAGGGCACTTGAACTAGTTTCCAACAAAGCTTGACTTTCAGCACTCCGTCACTCTGATTTTTTTTTTCGCCATGCACTTGTTTTTTTTTCTAAGTATCGTCTGTGGGATGATCGAGATACATTCTATAGATTGTTTATTCGATCTGCGACAGCTGTTGAAATATTGGCCAAATATTAAGCAAATAATAAACTCTGCGAGTTCAAATACACATGTTCCACATCTCTTGATTGTTCAGATGACCCCCGAATCCCGGGAAAAACCTATTATGAAAATAAAGCTGAAACCACATACATAGCTTTTTGTAGCAAAAACAAAAACTAACAATAAAATAATTCTGAATAATCGCCGTTCAAGCCATATTGATAATGAAAAAGTGGCTTATCTTTCTACTAAAAATGTATAAATGTATAAATAAATGCTCGTCACACAACAGTGGGTAGAAATCAATAATGTCTAGCTAGCTTAATTCAAGTTTAATAACTTGGCTTATGACTCTATGGTTATCTGATCCCATCCCCAGTACCCCCTATCAAGGTCTCTGATAAGTTGGCTTTATGGCTGATCGGACAAGACATATAAATGTTTTCATTATAATATTTTAATGTATGTTTTTAATGGAAGTTTGTGGACAAACATCGCCACAAAAAGTTGCACGTGTCCCCCAAGATTTGTGCCTCTTCTAAGCCTCTTTTGTAATCTTGGTTCAGTGAACTGGGGGTTTTTTTTTTGTCGAGTACTTGTTATCGCCCAAATTAATGTGTGAAACTGATAAGAAGAGTTCTAGAAATTGAAAAACATGAAAAGAAACAGTTTCTATTTTTGAAACACCAAAAAATATTCAGTTTTTCATACGTAATACCTCTGTTATTGTTCGTAAAATGAAAATTTCGTAATTTGTTCAATTGTCACGTTCTGGTCTGAGCTGTTAAGAACGCCTCGGGGGAACAGCCAAGCCATTATCTTCCATTCACGTTGAGTGACTCAATTTACAAACAGAGCCCACAAGCAACCCCACTTGGGTTATCGTAGCTTAGTGTGGCTTTTCTGGGGGAGGAGCTGGCCCTGGCCGCCAGGAAATTCAATCCAGATCCCCATGGCGACCTCCCGATGAACCGACCACGTGGCCGGCGTTTACTGGTCGATTGAATAACGCTGAGAAGGGCTTATCCGAATGCGTCATAGTCTCTAAACTGAACAGCTTATACTCAAAATATTGTATATTTTTAATAATTCCATTAATAGTTGAAGGTTTGCCCCGAACTCTGGCTCTTTTTAACAATTAATTTTAGTAAAAATGAATAACATTGTACTTTCCCTTTTTTGAAAGTACAAGCCTAAATACAGTTTTTAATTTAAATAAGAGGTTGCAATAGATTATAACTTAACAAATTAATCAACTTTTAATTAAAAATTCCCTTTTCTTTATTCCAGATTAGTTACTAGAGTAGGCCGGTCTCTCAGATCGGAAAATCACAAAGCGTATCACAAATCATCATTAAAAAATGACATCTCGGTAAGTCATACTTGATATTCTTGTCATACTTGTCATACAAAAGAACTTTGTCTTTAATATCAAAACATCATGTTCTGCAGCCTTGATCGACTTTTCATCCTACTGGAATCAGGATCCACAGCAGCCACCCGCCAGGCGGCCGCCAAGCAGATTGGGGAGGTACAGAAGCTGTATCCCCATGAGTTGCACTCACTGCTCAATCGCCTGGTGGGCTACCTGCACAGCACGTCCTGGGAGACGCGCATAGCAGCTGCCCAGACCGTGGAGGCCATCCTGAAACAGGTCCCTCAATGGCAGCCCGAGCTGCAAGTGCCGCCCAAGAAGGAGCCATCCACCACTGGCGCTAGTGCGGCTTTGGAGGAGGATAGCTGTCAGTCCAGTGGCTCCAACTCGACCACGGCCAGTGAACGTCTGCTGAGCTTCGATGAGTTCGATCTGCAGCAGATCCTGCACAAGGGAGCCCGTCTCATCGGCTCCGAGGGCAACGAGTTCGATGTGCAGGAGGAGCAGCCGGCCAGCGGTGGCGGAGCCGAGGAACAAAGTCTAGCCAGTCGCCTAAGCCGCCAGCGGGCGGTCTTGAACGACAAACTGGGCCTCACCACAGCCGCCAAGCTGGGCGTCAATCTCACAGACATGATCACCGACGAGGATGTCGCCCTCTCCAGGAGCGGCGCCAGCTACAATGTCAACGCTGAAAAGCTGCCCGTGGAGCACATCCTGAACATAAAGTCATCCAACGGAGCTGGATCCGGCCAGGCCCAGCTCAGTTGCCGGGAGATGAACCGGGCCAAGCGCAAGGCTCGCCAAAACACTTCCGCCGCTGCCAGTTCCGTGGTCACCCCCACCTGCAGTAGACGCAACTCGAACAGCAACCACAGTACAGGGAGTAACCACAGCAATAATGGCGCAATCACCCAAACCAGCCTAGATGAACCGGAAAAGAAGAAGTTGAAAGCCAGCGAGCGCCAGGAAATCTTCTACAGCCTGAATTGTAAGTGGAGGGGATCTGGTTCTTCTAAGGCGTTTTCCTATAGGCATCTGTAGCTTCTTGTTTAGTCATTATATCCCTTATTATTGTAGGGTTTCTGTTTATAGTACTTTACATAGTTTTCTTTAGAAAAGCAACCTAATATCGCTTTCGCTTCTTAGAGTTTGGAAATAAATACATTTCAAGATAAGGCAACTTTATAGGCACCAGAGAACTGCAACGAGTATAAAATTTTTGTTCATACTCGAGTACTGATTCAGTACTCTGTTTGATTTATTCCGTTTGCTTCGGGTATAAGTATTGAACTTTTCGTTTCCAGTCAATGTCAACGAACAAGTTCCAAACACGAGTAATGAGCCCGAATATGATTTTTTCTATGACAGTACCCAATACCCGAAATTTAATCATAGTCAAAAATGTTTGATTTAAATTCTAACCGATTTCGGTCACATTGTGTTAGTGTCACATTTTGACACATAAGTACTTCTAAAAAGTTTTACTGTTTTCTGTCGAGTAGCACGGCTTTCGTTCGAGAAAAATGGAGGAAAACAATAAAACTGTGTTGGAAAAACTTAATCGCGGTGAATATAGCCTTGTTCTTGATTGTGATTGCCGAGAGAAAATAGGTTCATGTAAAATCAAATCACCTGACGTTGGAAGTATTTGAGTTGAATCGAACTCGTTGTGTCAATTGCTTTGAATTGATTTGATTGCCCTTAGGGTATGAGTATTCGATCATACTTAATCATACTCGTTGCAGTTCTCTGATAGGCACTAAGTTCTTGTAAGCTTTTATTAATTTTATCGAAATTTTTTACAAGCTGGTCTATGATAATGATACGACTTGTAGGTCACACCCTAAATATAAAATCTTATCCGGAAAAGGGGCTTTATGGCTTCCACCAACAGAACCTAGAGCTACCACTAGAGAACCACTATTATAACCAAGTTCTCTTTCATTCCAGCTGCCGTTCCTGATGCCACTGGAACCTGGGTGGATGCCGTCTCCTGGCCCTTGGAGAACTTTTGTGCCCGCTTGTTCATTGATCTCTTTCACGCCAAATGGGAGGTGCGCCATGGAGCCGCCACTGCACTGCGAGAGCTAATCAACCAGCATGCCCAGGGCGCTGGCAAGTCGGTTCAGCAGAACCGTGAGCAGATGGATGAATCACACAGCCGATGGCTGGAGGATGCGGCACTGCGTCTGCTCTGCGTTTTGTGCCTGGACAGATTCGGGGACTTTGTCTCGGATCAGGTGGTGGCACCAGTTCGGGAGACCTGCGCTCAGGTTCTGGGCACATTGGTTAAAGAGATCGAGGCCACCAAGGTGCAACGGATTGTAGAGATCCTGCTGCAACTCATCCAGCACAAGAACGAGTGGGAGGTCCGACACGGCGGGCTGCTCGGCCTGAAGTATGTGTTCGTTGTGCGGGAGGAACTGCTCCCCATTTACCTTCCCCTGTCCATATCGAACATTTTGATTGGATTACTGGACGCTGTGGACGATGTCGGAGCAGTGGCCGCTTCCACCTTAATACCAGTGTCGTCCTGGTTACCCAAGCTCTTGAATCCCAGCCAGGTCTCGTCCATCGTAAAGATGCTGTGGGACCTGCTGCTGGATCAGGATGAGCTCACCTCTGCCTGCAACAGCTTCATGGGTCTTCTGGCGGCCATTCTATGTCTGCCCAAGGCGGCCAGCTGGGTGGAGATGGAGCCCATGGCTACGCTTGTGCCGCGCCTGTTTCCCTTTCTATCGCACAGCACCAGCTCGGTGCGAAGATCCACACTGAAGACGCTGCTGACGCTCACCAGTGCCGATAAGGTGAAGGTGGAAGTGAAGGAGGAGGGACAGCCTGGTCAGACCAAGATGAAGCTAAACTTCGGGGTCAGTGAATGGAAGTGGCAGTTGCTGCAACAGGCATTGCGGCACATATACCAGCGCATCCTGGTGGAACCGCAGGCGGAGATTCAGTCACTGGCCCGCCAGGTGTGGTCCAATCTCATCGAGCATGCGGATCTAGGCGCCCTCTTGCACGCCGCCTGTCCGTATGTGTCTTCGTGGATCTGCCTGTCCATGCAGCCGCCCAGACTTGCCTTTGACTCGACTGTTCTTATCCGAGCTGGCGGGGATTCGGGGAGCACCTCGCGCAAGAAAACTGCCCGCATTGGAGATGACTTGGGAGGCGCCATCTTGGCCCACACAAACGCCACACTGAAGCTGTACCTGGGTGGCAGTGAAGCTACGCCCTTGGAAGTGCGCGAGGCGAACTTCATGCGAGCCAGGATCGCCTCCTCTCGGTCTTTGGGGGCCCTCTCCCATTATCTTGTGCAACCTGCCCCCGGAGTGGTGTACACCCCGCAGACCGAAAGCCCCACGGATTGCTACACGAAGGTGCTGCTGGTCCACCTGAATGCTCACTCTGCTGTGCAAAGGATAGTATGCGGACTGATAATAGCCTTTTGGGCTTTGGAGGATGAGCCGGTGCGCCCCGGGCCGCCGAATCTGCAGGAGAAGCTCCACCAGTGCGTTAGCGAGTACATCTACTACGATGAGGTTGCCGTCTCACTGACTCGTCTGCTGCAGGAGGCCCAGGACTTCATCGCCACTCTGAAGCAAAACAAGATTCCCATCAACGACTTCAACAACGCCAAGATACTGACCCTTGATCAGATCGAAGCTGTGGCCACCAAGCTCACAGAGAACCTGCGAGATTATCCCCTAAAGCCGAAGTCGTTGGACTTACTGGAAGAGCGGCGAAGAAGTCTGCAGGCCTCCTATCAGCAGACGACCAGTGAGCAGGGAGCCTATCATGTCAGTGCCCAGGCGGCACTCGCCGGCGCCATCTGCGCCCTTCACTGCCTACCGGAGAAACTGAATCCAGTGGTCAAGCCCCTGATGGAGTCCATCAAGCGGGAACAGTGCCTCCAGCTGCAACAGCTCTCTGCTGAGTTTCTGGTGCACTTGATGGACCAGGTCTGTGATAGAAATCCTAGTCCCAACAGCAAGATATTGAACAATCTCTGTACGCTTTTGAGGAGCGATGGGGAGCACACGCCCAAGCTGGTAAGTACCTGATACTTTTGAAGACCTACAGCACCTAAAACCATCTATTTTGAACAGGTCATGCCCCAGCACACTCTCCAGCAGACTCCACCCTCGCCAGGAGTGACCAACAGTTGTGTCTATTACGGAATATTGACGCTGGCACTGCAGCAGGCAGTGACTCCGACTAGTACCAGAGGAGGAGGGGCTGGAGCAGTCACCCCAACAGCCACCACAGTAGCTCGTGGTCCCGGACGACCGCCGGCAAGTGAGATTCTAGCTGCTGCCTCTGCAGTGGCTGCCAATTTAGATTTAAAGGCGCAACAGGCGAAGGAGGCGGAAGCCAAGCAATGCCGAATCCAGCGCCTGGGAGCCACAAGTGCCATAGAGAAGCTGTGCAGCACCTTTGGGGAGCACATCGTCGACAAGGTGTCGGTTTTCCAGCAGCTGATGTTCGGAAAAGTAACGCAGTTTGTAAAGGAAACGGACGAGCACCAGCTGGCCAACACTCTACCGGAACTAGGAGCCTGTACAGAGCTGATCAGCTCCCTGCAGCTGATAGAGACAGCTGCTCCACATCTTCATGTGGCCCTACATCCGCAAATGTTTGCCCTGCTGCCCTCCTTGGGTTTCATTGTGCGACATCCTCTGAAATCAGTGCGTCACATGGCTGCCAGATGTATCGCTGTGCTGGCGGAGATCGACGCCTGTCAGACGATGCAGTTCGTGGTCCAGGAGTTGGTGCCACAGCTGGGCAAGATCGAGCACCTTATCGAACGCCAGGGTGCAATGGAAGCCATCGAACGAGTAGTGAGCCGGCTGCAGATCAAGGTGGTTCCGTATATTGTGCTCCTGGTGGTGCCTCTGCTGGGAGCCATGAGCGATCCGGATGAATCGGTTCGCCTGCTTTCCACCCATTGCTTCGCCAATCTTGTCCAGCTGATGCCACTGGACGGCAAGGCAGAGCAGCTTAAGAGCGAGCCCCTACAGGCTCAAAAAACGAGGGATCGCGAGTTCCTTGACTATCTGTTCCACCCAAAGAGCATACCGGACTACAGGGTGCCGGTCAGAATCAGTGTAGAGCTGCGCAGCTACCAGCAGGCCGGCATCAACTGGCTGTGGTTCCTCAACAAGTACAATCTGCACGGAATCCTCTGCGACGACATGGGCCTGGGCAAGACCCTGCAGACCATCTGCATTCTGGCCGGCGATCACTTGCAGCGAATAAAATCCAAGCAGGCCGACTTGCCCAGCTTGGTCATCTGTCCACCGACCCTCACCGGCCATTGGGTTTACGAGGTGGACAAGTTCCTGGCGGAGGGCTCTGTCCTGCGTCCGCTGCACTACTACGGCTTTCCGGTGGGCCGCGAAAAGCTGCGCAGCGAGATCGGAACCAACTGCAACCTAGTGGTGGCCTCGTATGACACCGTTCGCAAGGACATTGACTTCTTCAGTGGCATCCACTTCAATTACGTCGTTCTGGACGAAGGCCACATCATAAAGAACGGCAAGACGAAGAGCTCCAAAGCCATCAAACGTCTGAAAGCCAACCACAGACTCATCCTCTCTGGTACACCCATCCAGAACAATGTGCTGGAGCTGTGGTCGCTGTTCGACTTCCTAATGCCGGGGTTCCTCGGCACTGAGAAGCAGTTCGTACAGCGCTTCTCTCGCCCAATCCTAGCTTCACGCGACGCCAAGAGTTCGCCCAAGGAACAGGAAGCCGGGGTCCTTGCCATGGAAGCTTTGCACCGGCAGGTGTTGCCCTTCCTCTTGCGACGCGTCAAAGAGGATGTGCTTAAGGACCTGCCACCAAAGATCACACAGGATCTGCTCTGTGAACTGAGTCCCCTGCAGCTCCGCCTCTATGAAGACTTTAGCAATAAGCACTTGAAAGACTGTTTGGAAAAGTTGGGCGACTCGCCTGCATCGTCAATGGTGGCGGAGAATCTGGGTGCCAAGACGCACATTTTCCAGGCGCTTCGCTACCTACAGAACGTGTGCAATCATCCCAAGCTTGTGCTGCGCCAGTCTGAGGACTTGGCCCGGGTATCTGCCCAGTTGGCGCAATCAAACAGCTCCTTGGACGATATCGAGCACTCAGCTAAGCTTCCTGCCTTGAAGTAAGTATTCTCTGACTTTTCCCAAAGAGCTTAAACTAAAACTTTATCTTTTCACAGGCAACTGCTCCTCGACTGCGGCATCGGCGTGCAAACCGAGTCTGTTAGTCAGCATAGGGCCTTAATCTTCTGCCAACTGAAGGCTATGTTGGACATCGTGGAGCACGACTTGCTGCGACGACACCTGCCCAGTGTCACCTACCTAAGGCTGGACGGCAGTGTGCCTGCCTCCCAGAGGCAGGATATAGTCAACAATTTCAACAGCGATCCCAGTATTGATGTGCTGCTCCTGACCACACTGGTAATTTAAAAACTATTATTATTGAAATACCATTTTTAATGTAAAATTCTTGTATTACAGGTTGGAGGCTTGGGTCTTAATTTGACTGGCGCCGATACTGTGATCTTTGTGGAGCACGACTGGAACCCCATGAAGGATCTGCAGGCTATGGATCGAGCTCACCGCATTGGCCAAAAGAAGGTGGTCAATGTCTATCGGCTAATCACACGCAACTCGCTGGAGGAGAAGATCATGGGTCTGCAGAAGTTCAAGATTCTCACCGCCAACACGGTGGTCAGCGCGGAGAATGCATCGCTGCAGACCATGGGAACTTCGCAGATCTTTGATCTTTTCAACGGAGGCAACGGCAACGGCCAGGGCACATCCACGGCTGGATCTTCTACGGGTTCGGGACCCATGTCTATGAACACAATCATTGAGAACTTGCCGGAGCTGTGGTCCGAGCACCAGTACGAGGAGGAGTACGATCTGGGCAACTTTGTGCAGGCACTGAAAAAGTAGACAACCGCTTCCCACTCCAAGACTTCCAGTAACACGTTCTGACTTAGGCTAGGCTAGAAATGAATTGGAAATTATTATTTTCCGATGGCATTTCGAAATGATTTCTTCTGTTCCTTTATAATTGCAAACAGGAAACTTTTAGTAATAAAAAATAAAACATTTTGAAACCTAAAATTCATTCAACAATATTTTTGAATACTTCCGGAACACATCCTCTAAGTGTTATCGGAGTTATACTGATTAGGTGGAGAAGGAAACCGCCGACCGATAAGGTGGCCCAAAACCCAAAATAAACAATCGATGAGCAATGCTTTTGGAAGCTTTATTTCATAAACGAATATAAGATTGCACGCATCTGATAATAGGCTAAAGGTCCTTAAAGGCAATTAAAAATATCTATTCGAGGCACTTGAGATCCAAGCACCGAAGCACATTCTTCAGAATCGACATGTTTATGAATATTTGACTAGGCCAATCGGAGATGTTTATCCGTGGGCCTATCTGGAGTGTTGATTCTGCGGATTTCGACCGGGCCGGGGGTGTGCAACTGTTATTATTTATATAGAATCTTATCGACGATGTGTTATCATCCTGAGAGCTACTGTAAAACTCTCAAATCGAGGAGCGATAAGATGGACAGGGGAGTCCGTATAAGAAGCGGTGCGTTGATGCGGGTGGCATTGTGAAAGTGAAACCCATATTGCCACCATGAAGTACCTACTCAGCGTGACTCTGCTCCTGGCCATTGGCCTGCAGCAGATCGATGCCCACGGCATGATGCTGTCGCCTCCCAGTCGCTCCTCCCGCTGGCGTTACGACGGATCCGCCCCCCAGAACTGGAACGACAACGAACTCTTCTGCGGTGGACTGTATGTGAGTAATGGATCTACTATGGGCAATATTGGAATACTTATCTAATATATCGATTTCCATGTCCTTGCAGACCCAGTCCAACAACGGAGGACGTTGCGGCCTGTGCGGTGACAACTACTCAGATGGCCAGCCCCGTGCCAACGAAATCGGTGGCAACATTGGTGGAGCGGGTGTGATCACCAGGAGCTACGCTGCCGGAAATGCCATCACCGTAGGCGTGAAGATCACCACCAATCACTTGGGCTACTTTGAGTTCCACCTGTGCAACCTGGATAACTATGGAGCCGAGTCGGAGGAGTGCTTCGATGCCAACCGCCTTCGTTTCCCCGATGGCAGTGACAAGTTGCAGATCGGCGGCCAGAGCGGCGAGTTCGACGTGACTGTCATCCTTCCCGACGGCGTCACCTGCAGCCACTGCGTTCTCCGTTGGACCTATGTGGGCGGTGAGTTTTTGGGTATTCTAATATTTAGTCTAAAACTAATTGGAATTATTTCTTAGCCAACAACTGGGGCATGTGCGACGATACCTACGGAGCTCTGGGCTGTGGTCCCCAGGAGACCTTCAAGAACTGCGCCGATGTGAGCATCAGCTGGGGCCGCAACATGCTCACGGATCTGGTCAACAAACAGGAGAAGCCCGTGGCTCCCATCGAAGTGGTTTAAGATGTGTTTCTTCAATAGTTCTACAACTGCCAATTAAGTCTGAAAGTGCTCCAAGCCAAATAGTCAGCCAAAGTTAATAAATACATGAACATTAAATGAATTGATAAATTTGTTTTTCAACAAAAATTATAAGAATTTCCAGATCATAAAGTAGTATTATGTTAAAGAATTTAAAAATGAAAAATCTTAAACTTATAAACATCTGTATTATGTCATGGCGATAAGAATGGTTCCTCTACCTCTCTATAATGAAACAATCTTATAAAAAGTTTGCAACTCGTATCCAATCAGAATATAAAGTACCATTTTGTAATCAGCAAACCCAAAAGCAACTTTCCTCATTAAAAACATTCCTTTAATATCGTTTTTAAATTTTCCAAAATTTTCCAAGGAGTACCCTCACAAAATTATGGGTTTTCCCAACTTTCCCACTTTTGCTCCTTCCGATGGCCATAGCTCTTCCAATTCGTATCCGATCAGGAAATAAAGTACCATTTTGTAATCAGCAAGCCCAGAAGCAACTTTCCTCATTCAAAATATTGCTTTTATATCGTTTTTTAATTTTTCGAAATTTTCCAAGGGGTACCCTCACAAAATTGTGGGTTTTCCTAGTTTCCCCACTTTTGCTCCTTCCGGTGCCCATAGCACTGCCAATTCGTAAATGCTCAGGAAATAGAGTACCATTTTGTAATAAGCAAAACCAAAAGCAACTGTCCTCATTCAATACATTGCTTTTATATCGATTTTGAATTTTTCGAAATTTTCCAAGGAGTACCCCTACAAAATTGTGGGTTTTCCTAGTTTCCCCACTCTTCCTCCTACAGAAGGGTACAGCCCAGAAAATTTGACAAAAAATCTTAAAAATATTTTGTTCCCAGATTTTGATGCAGATTTATGAAGAATCGATCCACAAATCGTTTAGGGTATTCCGTTCAAGAATCGGATGAATATTTCCTAAGATATGGCCTTCGCAGTGGGTCATATGGGGCTCCCCATGCATTCTGCACATTTTGAAGGGAAAATTTGACAAAAAATCTTTAAAATATTTTGTTCCCAGATTTTGATGCAGATTTGTGGAGAATCGATCCACAAATTGTTTAAGGTATTCCGTTCAAGAATCGGATGAATATTTCCTAACATATGGCCTTCGCAGTGGGTCATATGGGGCTCCCCATGCATTCTGCACATTTTGAAGGGGACACCAGAAAATTTGACAAAAAATCTTAAAAATATTTTGTTCCCAGATTTTGATGCAGATTTATGGAGAATCGATCCACAAATTGTTTAAGGTATTCTGTTCAAGAATCGGATGAATATTTCCTAAGATATGGCCTTCGCAGTGGGTCATATGGGGCTCCCTATGCATTCTGCACATTTTGAAGGGGACACCAGAAAATTTGACAAAAAATCTTAAAAATATTTTGTTCCCAGATTTTGATGCAGATTTATGGAAAATCGATCCACGAATCGTTTAAGGTATTCCGTTCAAGAATCGGATAAATATTTCCTAAGATATGGCCTTCGCACTGGGTCATACGGGGCTCCCCATGCATTCTGCACATTTTGAAGGGAAAATTTGACAAAAAATCTTAAAAATATTTTGTTCCCAGATTTTGATGCAGATTTATGGAGAATCGATCCACAAATCGTTTAAGGTATTCCGTTCAAGAATCGGATGAATATTTCCTAACATATGGCCTTCGCACTGGGTCATACGGGGCTCCCCATGCATTCTGCACATTTTGAAGGGGACAGCCCAGAAAATTTGACAAAAAATCTTAAAAATATTTCGTTCCCAGATTTTTATGCAGATTTGTGGAGAATCGATCCACAAATTGTTTAAGGTATTCCGTTCAAGAATCGGATGAATATTTCCTAAGATATGGCCTTCGCAGTGGGTCATATGGGGCTCCCTATGCATTCTGCACATTTTGAAGGGGACACCAGAAAATTTGACAAAAAATCTTAAAAATATTTTGTTCCCAGATTTTGATGCAGATTTATGGAAAATCGATCCACGAATCGTTTAAGGTATTCCGTTCAAGAATCGGATAAATATTTCCTAAGATATGGCCTTCGCACTGGGTCATACGGGGCTCCCCATGCATTCTGCACATTTTGAAGGGGACAGCCCAGAAAATTTGACAAAAAATCTTAAAAATATTTCGTTCCCAGATTTTTATGCTGATTTGTGGAGAATCAATCCAATCAATCAAAAATTTTAAATACTCGTTGGAGAGCGCTGGCAGCGTAGGCAGTATAAATTGTATTTAATATTTCTGTGTAGTGATTATTTTATATTTCATGCCTAAAATAAGGCAAAGTTCTAACAAACTTAATCAGGCACTTTGTTTAGTAAAATTTATTCATTTTTTACATTTCTCTTTTCCGCGTTAACTTTAATCATTAGAAACTAGCAATCCTTTTTCTTTGGTTTCTTGCACTTTTTCTCTTCAGCCAATTCCTTGCATCTTTTTCTCGCATAAGCTCTGCATTTAATTTTTAGTTCTTGATTCTTGTCTTTTTTTCCTGGTTTTTCACATTTATTTTTCTTTGCCTTTTTTTTACATTTATTTGGCTTTGACTTCTTTTTATCTTTCTTGGCTATTCTCTTGCACATTTCCTCTTCGGCCATTTTGCGGCACTCCTTGAGTAGGGCAGCTTCCTTTGCCTTTCTCTCCATTTTCTTGCATAACTTCCTTGCCAATTTCTGACATTTCCGTATCATCTCCGCGCGCTTATCATCGTCGTCATCTCCTCCTTTTCCGCCTTTTCCACATCCTTTTTTTCCTTTTTTCTTCTTTTTCTTATCCTTTTCGGCCATATATTTGCAGGCCTTTTCCATTGCCAATAGGGTGCATTTTAGCCCCAAATCCTTGTCGTCCGTACATGTGATCTTGCATTCTTGAATTTTTTCGTTCTTCTGGAGCTCCAGGTCGTCCAAAAATATCCTTTGTGTTCCAGGCTCTTGGGGCGTGCTCCCGCACCGTTGGCGAACCCCAAGATCCAAGTCCGTCTTGCCATTTTTAAAAGGTGATTCCGATGGCGCCGCGATTGCTGAAAGGATAAGCATCCAATGCTATTATTTTGAAAGACTCCTTTATCCAACTTACCGTCATGTCCGATGTCTTCGTCAATATTTAACTTCCTTTTCGTGATATCGACCTGCCACTTGTGGGCTAGTCGGGTAATGTGGTTGGTAGGAAACAATATTATGTAACGATTGCAGGCTTGAAGACATGATGTTGTGTATCTAGATAAAGTTAACACGGTACGTGGAAACATACTAATTTTAAAACCAAAAAGTTAGAATAGTAAAAACAATAAATTTAGGCCGAGAAAAAAGGCTTAGTATAATTTGGTGTATTGCCTAGGCAAGGCAAGCCAATGACTGATATATTTGGGGAGAAACATAGCTTATCTAGGACCCAAATTTCGATGACATTAGAATCATAGTTATACTGTTAACGAAGTGGTGGGCATCGTCTCTTATCTAAAATAATACTTAGCTATGAACATATAATATCCTTTGTTAAAAAAAGGATGAATATGACTCTGCTTAGCTCAATTCCTATCCTTAAAGCTGGTATTGCAGTTCATAGTAGTAGTTCTTATAACCATCGTAATCAAATACTTTAAAATTTTATTCACCTTAAATTAATATTATTAAATTTCCCAAAGTTTTTGTTATAATATTGAAATAATTTTGAACCAATTTTTAAATGTGCCACATATTTTAAGTGTTTCTAAATATTTTCGTTCAATTAGCGTTAACTTTAAGGAATTTTAGCATTTCGGTTTCGGTTTGTTAGCCATCCTCTTGCATTTGTCTTTTTGGGCAAGTTTCCTACACTCTTTTAGCATTTTGATCATCTTTTCTCTTTTGGCCATCTTTTGACATTGGTCTATCTCGGCCAACTTTTGGCAAAGCTTTCGCATTTTCTCTCTTTCCTTGCATGGATCTTTAGCACAGGGATCTACTGGCTCCTTGCAAGGATCCTCCTTGTAGCAGGGATGGCCCTCAGGAAAAGTTATCTTTTTTTTCTTGCAAGGATCAATATTACACGGATCCTCTTCCACGCAGCCCGGCTTCTCCGCTTTCCGGCACGCCTCCTTGTGGCGTTTTTCCTCTTCGAGCCTTTGTTGTTCTTCCATCTCCCGGGCTTCACGCAGAAGGGCCAGCTCCTTGCACTTTTTTTCCATGTCCGGTTTTTTCTTGGGCTTGGGCTTTCGTTTCTTACATTTGTTTTTTGCAGCTAGCTTCTTACATTGCTCAGCTATGGCCATTTCCTCGCACTTTTTTCTCAGTGCGATGTCGCAAGGATCACACGAGGCGCCCCTTTTGGCCAACTCCTTGCACTTTTTCTTCAGCTTCAAGAGCTCGCACTTCTCCTTCATGGCCAATTGGCGAAATAGCTTTTTCAACGCGTCCTTCTTGCGTTTCTGCCTGTTGGCCACTTGCTTGCACTTCTTAATGATTTCCGCATCCTTGACCTCCTTTCCACAGTTTTTCATAGCCATTTCTTTGGACTTGTGTAGACACTCGATTCTAGTCTTTTTAGATTCCTGCTTTTCCTCGGTCTTCTTCGGCTTACTTATGTTTTGACGTGTTTCCTCTTCTGGTTTTCGTATCCTTTCATCCTGTTGCGTCTGCAGCTCATCCAGGAGCTTTGTACGCAGAGTCTGGAACACGAAAGTATCGTTTGCCTCTTCTATTTGAATTCTTCCGAGACGCTTTGGCATGAGACTTGGGAATACATTTGGTTGGGTCTCTTCTTGAGGATCTAAACAATTAATTAAAAATTCACTGCAAAGATCAGTAATAAGTCGTGATTCTTACTTGTTGTTGGCTTAGTTTTTGGATCGGATTTTTGCAGCTCTTGAATTTGTGGCAAGTGCATGCATCTACAGAAAAGATTCGAATGCAGCCTTCCATTACACAAATACGACCCATTGAACCGACTCAAAGCTAACGCCGTTCTCTTGAACATACTACAAATTTTCACACTAACCAGTATTGCACATTAAATTTTGAAAGAATCTAAAAAAAAAAAACAATTATTATTTGAATGTTTGCCAACAAGTCCTTAGGTTACTTATGAAATGACCCATTTTTGGAACACGAACACTTATGTGACGTAAAAATCACAGACAGGAAAGTATAATATTTGTAGATGGACATCCAGATCACTTTCAACTTGTGTATTGTTTTAAGATTCAATCAAAAAAATTAGTTAAAGATCCATTAAACGGCTGCACACTTATTTCTAATTGGAACTCTAATTTAAAAACAATATAATCTATCCTAGTCCGAATAGAAAACATATTTTCAACACCACTGATTTCCATTATAAAAGATAAGACCAAATAATTAATTTCCTGTTCATTACCTTAAAAAAACGATTTCCAATATATTTTTTCTTTAAAGTTTAAACAACGAATTTTATTTCCATAAAATAACATTTTCTTTCATTTAAGTTCAGTTGTGATAAACTAATTTATAAAATCCAGGAAACTTAATCGCAAATAAGTAAAGCTTGTTTCTTTAATTTTGAAAGTCCCGGAACATTATCCTAATATATTTATGTACATTAGGTTCCAAAAAGATAGTACCATCAGCACGACTCTCCAATGGATTGGCGTTATCAGGACCAGAAACGTAGCCAGGCTGACGTCCAGTCCGCAAAGATATGGAAACTTCACTTGGCCTTGTTGGAGCGATCGGTTGAATCTGAAAATATAGAAAACTGTCCCGCCCCGAAATCGGTTAGTGATTATGGTCTTGACCTACAAACAACCTAAAACAAAAGTCTAAAACGCCTCCCAGTGTTTATTTATATATTTGTGAACGGCTGTCGGCTGTCGGTGGAGGCGCTACAAAATTTGCACTATCAAAGTTTAGCCGACGCTGATTTGTGGCCCCTTATCAGGCCCCGAGGGTGGTATAAAATTTTAATTGACGCTGAATAATTCCCCCCGTTTTTTATGATGTCGTGCGAAATGGAGAGCTAATCTATAGAGTACAGCTAGCTGGGCTTCAATCACCTCGATATGACATTCAGAAAGGTCTCTCTGATAATAAAATTGCGATGCCTGAGTTTCCGTTCCATTTGCCCCCAAAAATTGTCGATGGAAAGGGTATGGCTTAATCAAGAATTTGGATTATTAGAAAGAGGAAAGTTTTTAATAAAGAAATATTAATTAAATTCTTTAAATAAATAGATTTTGAATACAGCTGGAAAATCCTATTAGGATCCATAAATAAATAACCATTGAAAGCCAATTAAATACTTTTCATTATCAAAGTGTATACAAGTGTTGCCGTTAATAGACGATTGTTGGGGACTTGACTGACGTCACTAGCTTTTAGTTCAATGGACTGACCCCCAAAACTCACCCAGATCTGGCGGGCGAATTGCGATACGCCGGAACTAAAATTCCGGGTGTTACAGTCGTCGTCTTGACCATCTTTCTCAAGGGAGGCCAACTTCTCGGCACAAGGAACGGAGCCGCCCAAGATTTTAATATCCCTGCTCTGGGCTTTTTCCTTGAGCAGTTCGCGTGGCGTTTTCTTGGGATCTTTGCAGAGAGGTGAACCGCCCTGGATCTCAGTCAGGTCCTTGGACTTCTTTTTCTTGTCCTTCTTGCCAAACAGGTAAAAGGAGCGCTGGGGGATCTGTGGTTCCTGCATAGAACAGTGACTTGGGCTTTGCTCTTTTCCTTCAGGCTCTGGGATTTCTTCTTTCCTGACAGGTTGATTCTCAATCACATGAGTGGCGGAAGGAAATATGAAGGATGAGGTAGTACTGTATTGACGGCGACCCACGTACGTGGACATTTTTCGCTTGGGCTCGTCACCGCCTTTTTTGCCGCCGCCCAAGATTTTGTCAAACAATATTTGTATAAAGGACTTTTCAGCAGGCCGAGGAGGAGGAATAAGATCCACGGGAGGCTTGGCCGTTTCCTTGTCCAGCAACTTCAGAGCCAGTTCGCCTCGGTCCACCTCGGGTTTCTTTTTCTCCAAAATATTTTCCTTTTTTACTTCTTCGTCAACCTTGGTTTTTGCTTCATCTTCGTCAACCTTCGTCTTGGCCTCATCCATAGACAGGATAGTATCTTTGTCGTCCTTCTCTGATTTGACTTCGGAAGACTCTCGCCTCCTGATTTCTTTGGGACTGTCTTCAGCATCCGCCGTTTCCCGCGGATTGTGTGACGAGGACGAAACCTCGTCGGCAATGGGATCGTAAAGATCACCCGGAGTTAACTCGGATGTAGGCTGGTAATCCTTATCCGAGTCTGCATACTTGGCTATTTGGGTGGCTTTCCTTATTCGGCGCCTCTGCTCAGCGGCCTCCATAAAGGACGATATTTTGTTATTCAGCTCATTAGTTTTCTTCTTATGGTCTTCCTTCTCCTCTAACTCGTCCTTTAGTTTGGCTATCTCCTCCATGTACTTCTTCTTGTCGTCCTTTCCCAGGCCGTATTCGTCGTCCAAAATTTTAGAATCCATATGGGCCAGCTTGGCAATTTCATCAGAGTTCTCCTTCTCTTCTATCTTTTCATCCATGAGGTCCTGTAAGGTTGGCTTCCTTATCTTTGTATTTAAGTTGCTTAGATCCGAAAAATGATCTTTACCGCCCTTATCTTTTTCAACACTTGCCTTGGGAGTATTTTTCTCGGAGGCATCTTTTTTGGAGGCATCTTTCTGGGAAAGATCTTTCTTGGATAAATCTTTCGGGGATGAGTCCTTTTTGGAGGAAGTTTCTTTGGCAGACTTAGACTCCGAAGTAGCGATTCCGGGGGTCTTACTTTGGTTGGCTGAATCGTTTTCTTTGCTAGACTTGAAATCCGAGGTCGAGATGGTAGTCTTCTTACTTTTAGTGGTTAAACCAGGGGCCAATATGGCCCGAACTTCTGCCTGACTGGTCTTGGTCGCCTTTGAGAGATCGTCTAGAGTCCACCAGCGATCCTGTCCCTTATCGAATTTGTCCAGCTGTTCGAATAATTCCCTTACTCTGCCCTCTTGAGCTTTGGTCTGATCACCTTCGGTGTCATCCTTAAACATGGCCACAATCTCCTGGGTGGTTTTTGGGGTAGTGTCTTCCTTTTTGGTAGAACCCATCTTCCAAGAGTGATCCGAGCCTTCCCCGGTCTTACCGAACACTGAGACAGATTCTGCAGTAAACTGCCGCTGCGAGGAGGACGGATTCAGGATAAACTCGACAGGCTTCGTGTCCGCACCAACTACATTCATGGTAATGCCCTTATCCGACTTGAGATCCGAGCTGCTTATCGGTTTAATATTCGAGGACGATGTATCTGGCATGTCGTTATTGCATACGATTTTGATGGGTAATGGCATTTCAGACTTAAACGAGTAGTCTGGTGCTTCCTGTTTCATAGAAGCATAGGGGGAGTCTGGATTTGCAGGAACAGTGCGACGGGTGCTATCCTTTGATTTTTTTACGGAAACTGCATCTACATCCATCGCTTGCTTATCCTCAAGCTGCACTTTGAACTTCTCTATCCATTTCTGGACATAATCATTATTTACAAGATCTTCGTCGGGCTGTTTATGGTACTCAGTTCTAGTTTGATTGTAAAGATCTTTAAAATACTCCGAACTTTCCTTATCGGATGCTTTACTTTCGATAGTCTTACTCCTTTTATTCAAATCTTCAGTAGTTGAGGTAACTGCTTTCGGCAAGGTTTCCGGTATCTTTACCAGGTTTAGTATCTCCCGAGCTACTGCTTCTGGTTTTCGTTCTTGCGCTCCGGTTCCAGTTTCGTGTAGCCGCCAGTTTGCTGCCTCAGATGTGACTGCTGCCTCATCTCCTGGAAGACCAGACGCATCTCCCTTATGCACATTCAGATCTGCGTCTGATCCTTCTTTAGTGCTATCATTGGGACGCCAAAACTTCCGGTAAGTGTTCTTTGTTGAAGGAGGAGGTATATCCTTAACGATCGACGACGGTGCATTTGGGGGCGTTTTGAGGCTGAGAGAAGACTGCCCGGTCTTCCTTTGTGGCCCAGCGATCTTGCCTTCTCCAGGCAAATCAAAACTGGAGCTCATGGGTTTTTGGTTTTTGGAGGAGCTTCTTTCTGAGTTGTCTGCCGAGGTGCCAGGTTGGGCTGGGGTCTGAGCAACTGACTTTCTTTCTATCGGCGTCGCTGGCGTGGACTTCATAAAGAGATTCGGATTAGAAGATCCCGCCTTATTCACCTTAGGATCATGCTTGGACTTTATAGCCTTCTGATCCAGGGCAGAGTTAGGATTCGCAACTCCGCTGGCCGCTTTGGATTGGAACTGAGGCGAGGGCTTGGAAGTGGCTTTGGCTCCGTGATAGTCCTGTTTGTTGGGCTCCTTTTTGGCAAATTTGGTCGCATGCTTCGACGCGGTTTCTTCTCGTTTTGCCTTGGCCTTGAGCAGCTTGGTCGTTTGTTCTTCTTCGGACAGAGACTGAAGCGCGGCTCTTATCCGGAGTTGCTCCGGCGTCATTGGTTCGTTTGAGAAAAAGTTGGCATAGCTGGTGTCCTCTGTGGCATCGATAAAACCTTTGGATTTACCTTTGCCATCGGGTACCTTGGGTGTATCAGTACCTTGGCTATCCGAACCTAATTCAACATATACGGGATCATCATTATACTTGGGATCGTTGATGAATTCAACAGTCGGCTGAGCCGGATTTGATTGGAACTTATCATCAAAGTTCCCATTATTATCCTCGTTGGAGGACTTTACATCCAATTGGCCGAGCTGAAAGAAGGTTTGATTTGGAGAGTGGACATCGGAGTCCTGATTGTCCGAGATGCAAGTTATGGTGTTCGGACTTTGCGGCTTGACTTCGGCGGGTGATGGGCGAGCACTTGGTAGCTCCGGGCTGTTCTCGAAAGGAGCCTCCGGTCGTCGCTCGGAGGGAACCTCCGGAGGGTTGGGTGGTGCTGCCACCCCGGCGCCCTTGCCCGGTTCCTCCTTCTGGCCTCCTTGAGTGACCCCTGCACCCATGTGAATGGGCACCACCGGGCGCGTACTACCGGGAGCCTTTGATATCGCGTCATCAGAATTGCCGGACACCGGTCTAGAGTCGTCGTGCTTACGGCGGCGCGGCTGAAGTGACGCCAGCGGCCCCGATAGGACGCAGCGGGAGCGGTATGAGACACGCAACAGCCCGAGACAGTAACTAGAGCGGCGACAGGCCGCGATTCCAGTAAGGACGATGCCGGACATGGGGCGGCAACTGGATCGGCTTGTGCTCGGATTGGCGGAAGGTCGGAAAGTCGCGAGGTGGAAAGGGGAGTCGACTGATAGACTACTGGGAACTCAACGAATTTCGGTTTATTTCAGAAATACTTAGTGTCGAAAGGTTGGATTTAGTATACGGGCCAGGCTAAGATTGTCGCTTGATTGAGACGGAACAGTGTACTGGGGTTTGTTACTAAGCTAAACTTCTAGGCTAATACGATCTAAAATTTGCATGGATTGTTGGTGTCCCTCGGCTGCACATGGATCATCACTTTGATGGCGCCTCCGAGTCCCTTCCTCGCTGTTTCGAAGGCCTTGTCCGTCTCCTTGATGTCAAAGTGATGGGTCACCAGTCGCTTTACGTTTACCTTTCCAGAGGCCACCAAAGCCAGGGCACTAGCGTAGCTGTAGAAAGTCAAAGGTTGTCAAGAATTGCCCTTGGAAGAATTTACAAATAGACTTACTCATTGCAGTAACGGAACACCCCACGAATATCCACTTCACGGGCCAGGGCATTGATCATTGGCAGCTTCACTTCCGGAGCTCCCATGCCCACAACCACCACAACGCCTCCGGAACGGGTTGCCTAAAAAGAAAGGTTTCCTGGGTTAGTATTCTGGGTCATTATTTATGATTTCATGACTTACAAAAATGGCCAAACGAGCACTGCTCTCGGCTCCACAGCAATCGATGGCCTTGTCCGGCTCACCACCCATTATTTTCTGGACGAGTTTCGCAGTCTCCTCAGCGGATTGATCCTTCGACAGCAGGAGCGTGTGGGTGGCCCCCAGCTCCTTGGCCACATCCAGACGTTGCTGCAGCAGATCCGTAATCAGGATCTCTGAGGCACCCATGGATTGGGCAGCCAAAAGAGTGACCAGACCAATAGGACCAGCTCCCAGGATGAGAACCTTCGAGCCCAGGGTCACCTCAGCCCGGTTGCAGGCATGGACGCCCACGGACAAAGGCTCCAGGAGGGCACCCTCCTCCATGGAGACGTGGTCGGGCAGTTTGAAGCAAAAGTCAGCAGGGTGCTTGTAGAATCGGGTGAGATTTCCATCGTAGGGGGGCGTGGCACAGAATACCATGCCGGGGCACAGGTTGTACTTGCCCTGCTTGCAGTGATCACAGTAACGGCAGGGTACACCCGGTTCGATGGCCACACGATCGCCGACCTTCACATTGGTCACTTTCTTGCCCAGTTTGGTCACCACTCCGGAGGATTCGTGACCAATTACCATGGGCTTAGTGAGGATAAAGTCACCGATGCGTCCGTGGGCCAAATAATGAACATCTGAGCCGCAAATACCCACACTGTCCATGGCAATGAGAACCTCTTCAAAGAAGGAAATTAAGATTAATTATAAATTATATAGTACCTAAATAATTTGACCTTGAAATGTATAATATAGTACAAGCACTATGCTATTAAATTTGTGGAAAACGTTTATTCCGAATTTTGATAAGAAAAATTCCAAAGTCACGAGCTATACTTTGATAATGAAATTTCAAGTTTTATGTTCTAATGTTTCATTGAAATAACATGTTCTTATCACAAGATCCATCAATATTGTAATTTTGACCTTGAAATATATTCCATTAGGGCCATATATTTGATAGAAAATTTTATAAAATATTTAAAAAAAATAGAAAATATAAACTAGAAATTGTTATAAACTACTTACCATCATCAGCAATTTGCGGAATAGGACGCTGCTCCTATAAATTCAGAAAAAATTGAAATGGTTACTAATAGTTCTGATTATCCTTAAAGGTAGTACTTACCAATCGCATGTCCTCGATGCCATGCAACACCGCTGTCAGATTATCCTTGGCCATTTCAATGCTTCCGTCGCAAGTATGCCTAATAGACTGAAGAACACGCCGATCGAAGAGCCGACTGGAAACTAATTTTAACATTTTGAACGAATCGGTAGTGGACCCGTGGATGTGGCCTTATCAGCCCCTGTGACGTATTTATTTGGGGTTAGCGATAGCAATGTAATATTCGCCACACCATTCCACGCCGCTCCACACCCTCGCTAGAGGTCAGAATAGTTATCTGCCCACTCGAACACAGCTGTTTCTCAGCCTCAGACTAAGTTACTTGTTTACATGCCTTATTTTAGTAAGCCCATCTAACAATAATGACAGTACTAGTCGGAAGGTGTGTGTCCATTCTGACACACCTTTTTCGATAACTAATCAATAGTTATCGCAGCACTTGAAGACAATAATAATAGAAATCAGAAATTATTATACTTTAACTATGTATTAAGTGAATGATAAGGTAAAACTATCAGTTACAGTCTCATTACTAAGGGAAAATTTCAATCCAATTCGTGTGAGAAATGAAATGTAGATCGCTACTAGCCACTAATGTCCTGCCATGTCGCTCGTGTACTTCTGCACGATTGGGGGATGTCCTCAATGTGTCATTGTGGACATTTAACAGAACATCAAAAGTGGTTGCGCCATAAATAAGCAGACCCTAGCATTGACCCCCACATCTAAGAGCACTGTTACCCTCGCCAGGCCTCGCCAGCTTCGGCATCCCCCTGACAGGACATCCTACCCCCTGGCACTCCTCGAACTGAACCATTTGTAATTTTTTGCTTGGACAATAACAACGACAAACAAATTTTAGTCCACTTCTGTTTTATGGCAAATTAATGGAGCGACATGCTGGCCATGTTCGCAATGGAACTTTACTCCATGCACTCGAGCCTAGCAGGTGGCCCCAGCATCCGGACGTCCTGTCTCCCGCCGTACCTCTGGCCCAACCTCACTCCCCCGCAATCATCTTTCCTATCAGTCCTCGGTTCACACATGCGAATGGTCATGTTTTATTATATACCCTGTCAGAGGGTGGCTTAAAACTAGTATTTGTTGGCCAAAAGGTATTATTTTGGCTAAAATATTATAACTAATTATTTTTTTTAATTTTGCAAAAAAGATTAAATATTAAAAAAAACTATATCTCTTAATTTTTTGGAAAGGGTATCAGGCTTCTTCAATAGAGAACTAAAACCTCTTCCCATGCAATATTGTTGTAGTTGCCATTGCTGCTGTCACTGATGTCGATTGTGTATTTGTGTGGGTGTGTAGGCGTTGGATTTGTTGTTGCTGTTGCTTTCTTTTGGCTCCATTTTGTAGTGCATGTGTGTGTGTGGGTGGGTGTGTGATAGTGCATGAGTATGTGTTGCCAGGGCGGGCTAACATATTGGACATTTATTATTTTTCGTGAGTGTTTTTGCTCGTCGAGTAAATTATGGCGGGTCCATGGCGGACGGAAGTGGACCAAAGCCGTAACCCTTACTCACATACCCTCTTTCTCTTACTAGTTCTATCTCTGTCTTCGAATACGGCCGTACAAATTGGTTCACAATACGTGCGACTCAGCTGCCGGTGTCTGTCCGTCCGCCAGTCTGAAATTTGGCCGTAAAACGCTTACCCGGCTCGGATTCGATCTGTATTTTTGTTTTGTCATAGCTTTGATAAACCCAATGGGAATGGCATCGGATCGACGGGGCTTAGGAGGCTATAGGGCTCAAATATGGGGGCGGGGCAGGGTCAGCTGGCAGGTCAGGCATGGGGTTTGGGGGCGGCGGCAGTGCTGCAGGCGTGTTAAATTAATAATTGCATAAATTTTACATGTGCTGTTGCATGAGTTATGAACGAAGCGGCATAAATCGCGAATAATGTGCACACTGGCCGTGCGAATATTTATGGGCGTGACTGTAAATCATCAAACCATAAACGCACTTGCAACGCCAACGCCAAGCGGTCAACATGTCGCTGGCACTGCTTCCACAGGACGCCGCCCCTATTGTCCTTTTTTTCATAAAAATGTGATAGAGAGTGAGAGTATTGAACAAAAAAAATTATTAAATTTCTAATTTTATTAGTACCATTTTTTTTTTTTTAAGTAAACGAAATATTGTTATAATGATATTAAAGGTTCTGTTAGTTCAGACCTAAAGCTGGGTACTTTATTATTCGTTTATTTATATTTTTATTCACTTGGTTTGTGCGATTCCGTTTGCAATTTCAATCTTTTCGATGCACTCGCACATGATAAATGCACAAATTTAATGAAGTAGCATAATTGTTAATATACGATATTTATATAGAATGTGGGTGCAGTCCCGGGCTTTCGTTTTAAAATAAAATTTAAATAAAATATATACCAGTTTCAAAAAATACTAAAAACGATCATGGAAGCCATTTTCTAGCAGAGCCTAAGATTATGCTACATTTTTTGTAACCCTCACAAACAAACACACTTATAAATTTTTCTCTTGCCAAAGATGTTGTCTTCGAATATCCTCCGGTACTGTCTTTGTCAATGAAGGAGTTCCGGCAGCATTCGGCCATTAGTCTTAATACACGCATGGAGATGAACCGAAATTTGCCCAATAAAAGTTCGATGCCATAAATTAAGAGCGCCGTCCTGCATCCTGCGCCATGTCCATGCCGATGGCCCTGGGCCAAGGATAGCAGGCGCCAGCTGCCGGAAGGAGTGGATGGCTTCCCAGGATGCGGAGAGAAGGTATGTGGCGCAGGACCAATGGAGCAAGAGATATGCGATCAGTAAATACGTTTCCGTTTCGTCTGCTAATACACTTCCTTCATCCGCAGGACTTTAATTCTTAAACACCCGCCAGCCGGTGATGGATGCAAAAGTGGGAACAACAAAAAGAAACATTACAAAAAAGAAACAGGGTCGCAGATAGCCATTATTCTCATCTGGTGTACTGCAAACTCGCAACACTTTGATGTTTCAAAAATTATTTCATTTTCTATATCCAGCAGCAGGAGCAGGACCAGGACCAGGAGCTGAAACAGGAGCAACAGCAGAAGCTGAAAACCGAGCATGTCCTGAGGAGAAGGATGGAGGACAGGACGCGGACTTTAGATTTATGGCCGGGAGCCAGACAAAGTGTCTGCGGTTCGGTCAGAGCCTTCAAGGCGAATTCTGCGGGTCTTTGTGTATCGTCCTTCCCATCTCGGGTGCATCCTGTGCTGCAGGAAAAACGCAAAAAAAAAAACATAAAACTGCACAAAGTGTGAGTGAGGGGAAAGGGGCGAAAAACTTGGCCGGGTCATATGTGAGTCAAAGTAAACGAAGACATTGGTTAGTCAAGTTTTTTCATTTCGCAGTGTCATTGCAATTCTCAAGACGAAAGTGCAACCGTGGCGAAAAAAAAAGGATATGTATATATAGAGAACCGGATGTCGGAAGCACTCCATTCAATCTGCAAACAAGACCCAAGCACGACTGCAGCGAAATGAGAAATTCGTTTTTTATTTAAATTTCGAGTTGAGAGAAAAACATCCTTGTCCACTGTTGCACTAGCTTCAGATGTTGTTGCTGTTCCATTTGCTGGCTTTCCACTTGCAACTGCTGAATTTTCCACTGCTGCTGCGTTTCCCACTGGATCTTCTTCCGGCGCGAGGAAGATGAATGCTTCGCCAACGACAACACGATGACGCCAATAGTTTTTCCCTTCTGTTCGGCCTCAGCTGGTTTTTGGGTTGTGGTCTTCCTTGGTGCCCGTACCCAGGGCCCAGCCCAGCTTGTGGTCTGAGCAAGTTTTGTTGATTTAGGGAGCCGAAAGGAATTCTTGTGCGTAACTATTTGGTTTTGCGAAAGTTCTTTGAAGAGCTTACATAATTTTATAATTTGTCAAAAACGGGATACATAAAACTCAAGAATCCTTGGTGTTGCAAGTTGGTTGGGAGAAAATAATAAACAAGTCAGGACATTTGAAAAAATTCTTTATAGGTTTCTAGTATTCGTATAAAGTCGGTGAAGGTATTCCAATTAAGAATCTGATTTTTCGGATTTTTGGAGGACATTCTCCCAGAAAAGAAGGCAAAATATGTAAAAAATATTTAGTTTCCATATTTTAATGTAAATTTTTAGAGAATTGCTTAACAAATCGATTATGGTATTCATATCAAGAATCGGTTCAAACGGGAGTATCCTTCCTATGAGGGTCCCTCGAAGCATTTTTTATAATTTTGAAGGGCATCCTTAGTCTGTGCTGAGAAAATCATTGCCCTTACAATTTCCCAATTGTTGGAATATCAAATATCATCGAATGTAGTAAAAAACAAAGCAATGGACAAAGATCAGCCACTATTTAATACCATAAACACATGACGACTTTTTCGCGTTAATTCACACATCGGCGATATAAATTAAATAATGTGTCCCATTGAGGGGGCGCCCACTAAATTAAAAATGATATAGAGGAGGCAATTTTCGCAGTCATCACAGGCATTGTCAGGGGAGCCGACCCGTCGGGCGTTCGCAGGGAACTTGCCTAATTAATTTCCATTACAACGTGCCATGGGTTGCAGATATTCAAGGGCAGGCGGACAAAAAAAAATATTTAAAATTTCGTGCACTTGCCCCAAGCATGTGCAGGCGATTAAATTAAGTGACGCATTAACCATTGCAGTGCCGAAACTAAATCATTTTGTCGCCACGGCGTCACAATTCACGCCTGCAGGAATCAGAGGGTGCAATGAAAAAAAAAAAAAGAGCAGCGAGAGCAGGACACTGGGCTTGGATCCTTGAAGGCTTTTGTGCAATTTGTCAAGCTGGCAATTGGCTGGCTCAGGGTTTGGGATTGGGATTTTGAAGGGTTGCAGGAGCAGCTTTTACTTCCCGCCTCAAAATCGTGGCGCACTCAGGGAAATTGGCTCATTTGCATTCGAAATTTAAATTAATGCAAAACCGCTGAAAATGCCGAAAAATATGTTGGGTAAACTTTTGGCCGGACTCGTTTGTTGTTGTATGTTTCTCGAGGAGCCTGGGGTGGCAAGACGGGCAGGACATGAGCCCAGGCTGATCATAAATATTCGCCAGGGCTCGTTAGAGCTACGAACGAATGAACGCGACTTCCTTACTAACTACGCACGAAATCAAGTGGGGAAAATTCTCGGGGAGCAGCTGCCGCGCGAAATGGTGTGCGGCCAGCCCAGGGATTCCCACCCATCCGCCCAACCTTCCAACCGCCTCTACTCCTGGGCCTGCGAGAGCTACTTTTGCCGCAGTTCCTTATATTCCGTATATTCCCAGGAGCCGGAGCAACAACATTAGGAGGAACATCTTACTCGCCTT